AGGTCTATTGGAAACATCCTTTCTACCTGCATTAGGTAGGGGTAAGGTCTGTGTACAGACTACTCCCCAAACCCCGTCTATTGGGAACATGCTGAGTTTGTTGTTGTTGTTGTACATTCTTACATTTTCTTAATCATTTGTTTTTCTTATTGTTCTCTATATTTCTAGTGGAATAGGAAAAAAACAAGAATAATACTAGTAGTAGTAAAGAAGTTAAGCTTATCCTTACGAAACAAAAATTAAATGTAGGACAATTTTGACTACTACAAAAGAAAATAACAAATACAGAAAAGGGATTGATTAGAGATAAGCACAATATATCTTTTTCTTGTTTCTTATTACATAAACAGTACAAGCCATTTTCACACCTTATGAGCAGTAAGGTAGTTGGACCACATCAAAATCATTCGAATTGACACACTTTGTGCAAAATCTTTCTTAGAGGAACAAATTAAGACCTTTACTATATTTAGAGGGGTCAAATAATGATGAAACACCTAATAAACAAATGAAAATTGACAAGATAAAGGATGTGTTTGGCACGAAAGAAAATGTTTTCTTCAAAAATAATTGGTTTTCTTACTTATTTTTTGGTGTTTGGTTAGGTAGTATAAATTATTTTTGGAAAAATATACAGTTTAAACAAACACTATATGAGACAAAACGGGTAAGAGCGAGGGAGGGTGGTAGGTCGGGTCTAAGGCCGGAGTGGCAGTGGCGATGTTGGGGTGGGGTGGGCGCAAGGTGGGGAGTAAGGCGGGGTTGGTTGATAGAAAGAATTATGAAAAATATTTTTCCTTCTTTAATAAAGAAATGAGTTCATGAGAAAAATATTTTTCAAAATAGTAAATTAACCAAGCATAAAATAATTGAAAAATATTTTCTTTTTCATACCAAACACACCCAAAGTCCAAATCCACTATCTTGCATACACCTATATTTTTTCGTGTATCCAAATAATAGTTTTTCTTCATTCTCCCTTTCTTCCGAGTGTACTTCATGATGCCTTGTATGGTCTTTGTTTTTTTCACAAGAAATAAGTAGAAAACTACGATGGACTAATAGTGTCAATAATCGAATGATGCTACATGTACTAAATGCCATAGTAAGCATAATGAAGTTATTATTTACTTTTACTTTTTTCTCGCTATAATTTTATTATATGAATTACATTAACTAAACTCCCACAACATTACAGAGAATCGATAGCTTAACTACTTACTAAAATATGATTTGAAACTTTAGAAATGCAAAAGACAATATTTCTTATTCCTATAGTTATAGACAAATATTTATCGATCACCCGCTATTTATACGATAAATAAATCATTTTTAATAGTAAAAAATTAATGTAAAAATACATTCCAATTTTATTTTGTTCAAATGATCAATGTACTTATAAAAAATATATTTTGTATCGATTGATTTGATATAAATATTAAGTGAAGATTAACTTTTACATCTAACTATTTTGTCTGTTAGCGAATGACTTAGTGGTTGAGGCATGAGAGTAACAACATGAAAATTTCACTTTTGATCCTACAATAATTTATGTGAGGCTACAACTAACAATTAGTACTGCACCTCAATATCAAAAAGGACAATTGAGGTAGTGAATATGATTACTTTGAAAACACAATTTGTGCTTCTAAATTAGAAAGTGACATGAATATTCGACCACACAATTTGTGCCGGTAAACTATCCTTCTTCTTAAATTATCTGTCATGAGTTTTTAAAAATAATTATTTTAAATTATTTATCATTAGAAGTTTAAGATTAAATTAGTTTTTTTTTATTTTACCCGTAATATTAATTGTTCTTCAAAATTACAAATGTCTTAGTTACGAGTAAATATTAAATGAAGAAAGATTATAATCTTAAAATATAAATAAGGGTAAAACAATAAAAAATATCTTGTATTTAATATTTTTTAAAAGGACGTGTAAAAGAGAAACACGATAGATAATTTGAGACAGAAACTAAAAAGTAAAATGGATTAATTGAAAAATTATCATATATCTTGTAGAAAACACTAATAGTTATTTGAATGACTATTTTGACTAGTTGAAATGAAAATTAGGGGAAAAGGTAATATTTTCTCCAAATAATTAGACAAAAAAAATTAGACCGCGTATATTCAGGAAATGAATTTGTTTTGTTATAAAAAAGTATATATAAAATCCAAAAAGGCCTCTCAAAAATAATACTGCACAGTACTCATAATTGCAGTTTCCGATTGAAACGGCACATAGCAATTGCCTCCCCACTAGACTTCACCTAATAAATCAGAGTCCACGTGTCAATACCCCAGGATGAAGACAAATTTTACAGACAATCGGTCCTTTCATCTTTTCCATTTACAAGCTGCCCCTTATATTTTATAAATTTACTGAACTATGCCATTTTCGTTCTTTTTGGCATAAAAAAGGAAAATAATTTACATGATAATTTTCAATTTGGAACAGAGAGGTTTTAGTATTAAGTCAGTATAATAATACTACATCTTTTTAGATGGCATATTAAAAGTTCCAATTCTATTGGCTTATTCGACTGAAGAAATGCTGGAGATAAGGATTCTATTTAGAGAACAAAAATATTTGCTCTTATATCAAATCAATTCATTGACTGCTTAATTATGTAAATCAAAAATTAAAATAATACTTATTCTTACCAAAATGAGAAGGATATCAGCATCTTGCTATTTCATTTAACAACTGATGAATGAAGATCATAAAAAGGTTACCAATAATCAAAATTTACACCAAACTAATGAATATATGTCAATTGTTTTGTTAATGCAATTTATCATTTAACGATGCTAATTGTTATACGTACCTCAATTTAACAGTTAATCATGATAAACTAAAGTAGTTTGGTGAACTTTTAATGTGAACAAGTATTTCCATTGTTTGGCAATTAGATAGATTTTAATTATATTACAGATTTCCATTGTGAAACTATTAATTGAAAAAATCATCAAAACAATTCATATTAGGTAAAAACCCAAATTATGCATCTTATTTTCTCATTAGATTTGCCTGTTTTAGATATTTAAATAGAAAATAACATAAACGAGAAAAGCTAAATAAATTCTTTCATAATTTCTTAAATTCATCTAGTAATATTATGTTATTTAAATTCCACCATTGTACCAAATTATTTATATACTTTTTCAAAATTTTATGTCCCTTGTCAATTTCAATCTTTTCACAGACATAGTAAACATAAATTATATAGCTGAATAAACGCTTTCTAGTAAAATAAAGCTGGATAAAGTAAACTGTACAATTTTTTTTTTTTACTTTATAGCACTTCTAAAAATAATATCCAAAAAAATTATGCACTTTTTATATATTATATTAAAAAAATATACAATTTTTTATACTATTGCGATTATCCGATATAATGCAAGTTAAAAATGATCTTTGCTACAAAGAAAAAAGATTATAAAACCAAATATCACATTTCTTAAAATATTCTCATCAAATGATGTACTCCTTTTATTATTGACCTTTAGTATTTGTTTTCCAATCGTATACTCCATTATTTTTCAAACAAGAAAAAATGGTTATTTATTATATGTATATAGACATTATAGTTATACTTCAAAAGAAAAGAAGAAAAAAATGTGTGTGTACCGTGTATAATTAGTAATTACAGTGATATTACAGTGATACTATATCTAAAGGCGAAGTGCATTAATACAGAGATACATAATTAACATATACATATCTCCGCGTATCGGCGTATATGTCTTCTAAATATGCTTATGACATAAATGTCTAAACAAAACTCTCTCTTTCTCTCTCTAATCTTACATATTTCCACTTCTTCTTGTCTATATTTTTGTCACCCCTCATTTCTCCTTTTTCTTCCATTGCAGACCCCCCCCCCCCCTCCTTCCCCTCTCTCTCTATATGCCCTAAAAATCCAATATAAAGAACACCCTTTTCTTTTACATAGCCGCTATATCTCTTCTCAGTTCTAACACTCTGTTTTATCAAACCATTTTCCCCCATTTTTCTTGCTCAAGATTCATCCTTTTATATCTGAAAATGTTTTGTTAAAACACAGATTTTGATATACTACTAAAGAACGAAACTTTGCTTTGTTTAAGTGAAGATTGATACTCAGATAAAGTTTTTTTATTGAGGTATTTAAATGGCACCGAGTATGGATTGTGCAGTTTCTAGTCTTTTATGTGCAGAAGACAACAACAGTATTTTTTACAATGAGGACGATGATGATTTTGGATTTGTTGAGGAAGACAGATGGTATTCTAGGAATCATCGAAATGGTCAAGAAAACAACAAGAGGTTGTTTTATGGGGAAGAATCTTTGACTGGTATTCCATTACAGAGTGAAGAGTGTTTAGCTTTGATGATTGAAAAAGAAAGTGAACATATGCCTGCTGTTGATTACTTTGATAGATTGAGAAATGGTGATTTGGATATTGGTGCTAGAGATGAGATTCTTGATTGGATTGCTAAGGTTGGTTCATCACCTTTTTTTTAATATGGGAATTGTTGATTAATGGTTTTNGAGGGAGAGGAGGTTTGATGAATGGTTATTGAGTTTTACTTTTTGGTGGGATACTTTTTGGTGTTTTGTTTAATGGTCAGCTAATGCTGATACGTTAAATGAATGGGATTTCACTCTTTTAATTTTTGTGTCTTTTTTTCCTATGTCACCAAATTCTTAGCTGTCTGTAATTGGATTATTACCTTTTTACTTGTCTTGTTGTACTTCTTGTGTAATGTGATTGTTTATCAGTTACTATTTGTATTCATTTTTGGCTGAGTAGATATTAAGTAACTCTAATGGTGGATCATTATTTGCAGGTTCATTCACATTTCAGTTTTGGGCCAATGTGTGCATATTTGGCTGTCAACTACCTTGATAGATTTCTTTCTGCATATGACTTACCTGTAAGTTTTTTTGATTACTGAATTTGGTATTACGCTTAGTTTCATTTAATCAAATTGCTGATAGTATCTGTTCTTGTTTTTATAGAAGGGTAAAGCTTGGATGATGCAGTTACTTGGTGTAGCTTGTTTGTCTCTTGCTGCTAAAATGGAGGAGACTGATGTTCCTCTATCTCTAGATTTACAGGTAAACATTACAAGAAATCTTAAGTATCTTTAAGGGCAGCCCGTTGCACTAACTCCCTCTATGCGCGGGTCCGGCCCTTCTGGGAAGTGCCGGACCACAAGGGTCTATTGTACGCAGTCTTACCTTGCATTCTCGTTGGAGGCTTTTTACTCGGCTTGAACCCATGATGTCCTGGTCACATGGTATCAACTTTACCATTGCCAAGGCTCCCTTAAGTGTCTTTAAATTTATAAATTTTGGGTAATGGCATAATAATGGTTGTGGATTTGCGATGATCGGTACAGGTTGAGGATGCAAAGTTTGTATTTGAAGCAAGAACTATACAAAGAATGGAACTCCTTGTGTTGAGCACATTAAAATGGAGAATGCAGGCTATAACCCCACTCTCATTCACTGATTATTTTCTAAAGAAGATAACTGATGATCAAATTGCCTCAAGATCTTTAATCAATAAATCAGTACAACTCATATTAAGCACACTTAAAGGTAAGGTTCATTTTTCCTTGAGATAATTAAGATCTTGATTTGTGCTTGTTTTCTGATGGCTAATCTTTTTGGTGGGTGAAAATTAAATGCAGGAATTCACTTCTTGGAATACAAGCCTTCTGAGATAGCAGCAGCAGTGGCAATCTCAGTTGCAGTAAAAACTGAGACAATAGACAGTGAGAAAGCAATATCTGCTCTAGTTCAGCATGTACAAAAGGTAAATATTAGTGGTCCAAAAAAGCATAGGCAAAAAAAACATTCGTACAACTTGATCATTTATTCACTTTTCAATCCTATCTTTTTCATGTTGATTAACTTATAGTATGTACAATATTAAAACTATCTTCTTTACTTTGCTTTTGCAGGATAAAGTGATGAAATGTGTTGAATTGATTCAAGAATTATCATTACCAAGTGATTTTATTAAAGGACCAAGTGCACCAATTCCATCTGTTCCTCAAAGTCCAATTGGTGTGTTGGATGCTGCATGTTTAAGTTACAGAAGTGATGAATCAGGAGTTGGATCATGTGCTAATTCTTCACATAGTAGTCCCATTGCTAAGAGGAGAAAGCTAAATGACACAAAAATGGATGAATGTTGAGTGGAAAGCCTTTTGGTTGAATGAGAGTTCGGTGTGATATTTGAGAATGCACCCCTCAAACACAACTTCAAATAAAGAAAGTAAATGGTGGTGGGGTGGGGGGTGGGGCGGTGGAGATTGTAAGTAGTTGGATCATTTTGGTGGCTGAAGATTGGAGATATAGTCAAGAGGTTTCATGCCATTAACATGAAAAGAAACTGGAGCTGTTAAATATTAGACATCTTAACAGCTAAAGCAGCCAGAAACAATTAGGCAGAAATAGAAGAAAAAAAAAAAGAAAAAAGAAGAGAAACTCTTATAGTATGTCTTGCTTTTGAGTTAGATAAAGTTTGTTTTTAGGGTTGAGGGCTTGCATTTATTTTAAGGTTTAAAAAAAAAAAGAACCAAAAAAATAGGTGGTGGAAGTTGAAACCCCAAAGAGAAAATTTTGAGTGTCATTTTATTTGTGTCATTGTGCACTTTTGATTTGTGTAAATACTTTATGGTTTCTTTATGAAATTCTAAACTATACAGTCCAGTAATATCTCATTTGATTCTTGTAACTTGTTGCCATTTTTATTAAGAGTTTAATATTTTATCATGTACTTCCTTCGGTTCAATTTACGTGATATAATTTGACCTAACACAAAGTTTAAAAAAAAAAAGAATTTTGAAATATTTGATCCTAAAGATTAATAGGATTAAGGGGCAAAAACTTTGTGAGGTCATATCATTTGTGTGCATATAAAAATTTCTCATTAAAAGTAAAGTGGATAAAATAAAAAATTTAAAGTTAAATTATTTTCAAATATAAAAATATGATATTCTTTTTAGAACATACTAATAAGTAAAATCAATCATTTAAATTAAAACGGGGTAAAGATTTTTACACTATAAGTTATCTAAGTGATATTTACAAGAAAATCTTCATAAGAGGTAAACTCGAAAATAAGATAAGTTACTTAGGGTTTGTTTGATACGAGGATTAAGAAATAATTAATCTTGAGATTAAATTTGAGATTAGCTTATCCTACATTTGATTGAGATAAAGTTGTAGTATAACTTATTTCAGGATTAGTTATTTCGAGATTGTAGTATTAATTTTATCCCCATGGGATAACAATCTCGGGATAACTTATTTTCTAACAGGTTTTTTTTGTACATGATGTATAAGTTAAACCCTTTTATTAGTATAGTATAATATTCAAAATAATGTATTCTTTTTTTACCATTAATTTTCTGGTGTAGAATTAAATGGAAAGACTAGATTAGCCTTCTGCCATATACTTTTTGTGGAGCACATGTGATAAGTCCTTCTTTGACTGTTTGTCTGGTTGGACTATTGGGTTTTGCTGCTATGCTAAATATACTAACTGTAGACTGATTCACTTTTATCCTTATCAGTATGGACTAGTTTTATTTGGCAATGCAATGGGCACAAATTCTTGCCTTGAAAATAAATAAATAAATCCTTTTCTTCTTTACTCTTTTTAATTGTTTCTTTAATTTGGTAAATTGGAATGGGACTTGCAGAAAAAGCACTTTTATGGGCAAAGAACAAACTAAAATTTATTTCAGTTCAAGCACTGCCAAACATTCAGAAATACTACTGTATTTGTAAAATTATCTCAACTTTTAGCCCGTTTGGTTTATGGAATCAGTTCCCTGAACAAAAAGAAAAGGGGCTGACAATTCATCCAATTTTCACACGATCAACCTTGCAAAAAAGCAAGATTCAAAAAGATTATATTTATGGATTTAAGTTACATATACTAAAAGTGTAAAGAATTTTATATCATTAGTGCAATTTAATTTATTGTAGTACGTTGCTTATCATTTATTCGAGGTTATTATTTAATAATTATTATATAAAATTGTTTGTAACTTTTTTTAAGTGATCTCATTATGCAAATAATTTTGGAATTAAGGCGTAGTTATTATTGTTATTGATCTTATTGTAAATATCTTTATGCTATGAGTATATAGAACCTAAACTCTTCGTTTATTTCTAAGTTGATTGAGACAAGTCTATCAGCACATTTAACTATTGATCCCTTAGAAATGAGGGGTAAAAAGTACTCCCCGTTCCAATTTATGTGAACCTGTTTGATTAGACACGAAGTTTAAGAAAAAAATGAAGACTTTTGGAATTTGTGGTCCTAAACAAGTCTAAATGGGCCCCAGAGTATTTGTATGGTTATAAAAGTTTCTCATTAAGGGTAGAGTTGTAAGTTTAAGCTAAATTGTTACCAAATTTAGAAAGGGTTCATTCTTTTTGAAACAGACCAAAAAGAAAATAGGTTCACATAAATTGTAACAGAGGGAGTAATTTTTAGACAAAATACCTTATCACCCCCTAAACTTGTCACAAATTATTAGTTATAGCTTTAAACTATTCGTGGTCTTAATTACCCCCTCAACTAGGCCTTTTGAGAGCCATTACCTCCCTGAACGCTGATGTGACAAATTGTGTGGGTGCACTCGCCTTCCACGTGAATTTTTGTATATGTGGCATTTTTTTAAAAAATAAAATATATTTTTACCTTTTTAAGTATATTACTTTTTTAGATAATTTTTTTCGAATACAATTTATAATAAAATTTGGATCGAACTACATTATTTAGGCTAAATATTTTTATTTGGCTAAAAATAAACAACAACAACAACAACAACAACCACCCAGTATAATCCCACTTAGTGGGATCTGGGGAGGGTAGTGTGTACGCAGACTTTACTCCTACCCTGGGGTAGAGAGACTGTTTCCAAATGAACCCCCGACATCCTTCCCTCCAAGAACTTCCCACCTTGCTCTTGGGGAGACTCGAACTCACAACCTCTTCGTTGGAAGTGGAGGTTGCTCACAACTTTTTTTGAATTTGACATGAAAATAAAGATTAATACAATTGAAATAAATAGTGAAGGCATCTAAAAAGTTATAAAAATACATAGTTTGAACTTAATTATTTTGGCTATAATTTTTTTTATATAGCTCTAAAAATATACTTTTTACATATTGTACCTGAAAAAGTAAAAATACACAGTTGAATTAAATAGTCATTGTATCAAAAGAAGAAATAAAAAGAGTGTACAATTACAAAAAATATCTTACTCTATGGATACATTTTTAGACCAATAAAAAAAGGGTACGCTCTTTTTATTTCTTCTTTTAATACAACGACTATTTATTTCAAGTATGTACTTTTACTTTTTTCAGGTAAAATCTGTAAAAAAATAATAATTTTTAGAGCACCATAATTTAGAGCAATATAAAAAATTATAGCTAAAATAATTAATTTCAAACTATGTATTTTTAAAACTTTTTAGATGCCTTGACTATTTATTTCAATTGTATAAATCTTTATTTTCAGTTCAAATTCAAAAAAAGATTAACTAAAACTTTATTATTTTTAGCCAAATAAAAAAATTTAGCTTAAATAATGTAGTTCTTTCCAAGTTTTATTATAAATTGTATTTAAAAAAAAATCTCTAAAAAAGTAACATACTTAAAAAGGTAAAAATATATTTTGTTTTTCAAAAAAATGCCACATATATAGAAAAATCCACGTGGCAGGCGAGTGCACCCAAACAATTTGCCACATCAACGTCCAGGGGGTAATGGCTCTCAAAAGGCCTAGTTGAGGGGTAATTAAGACCACAATAGTTTAAGGTTGTAACTAATAATCCGTGACAAGTTTAGGGGGTAGTAGGATATTTTGCCTAATTTTTAAGTTCCCAACGGAAAGAATAAATGTAACATTTTTTTTCTTTCAATAACTTTGGCCAATTTTTGCTGTTTTTATTTGTACACTTATTTTAAAAGTAAATTCTGCGTTCCGAGGCCTCAAAAACCACTTTCTATCTCACCTCGACTTGCATGTGCAGTCCGGGCGCGTAACTAGAAAGCCAATATATGAAAATCTCTGAAAAATGATGAATTTCGGCTTCAAAATGGATTTAAGTTGACTTCAATTAATATTTTGGATAAACGGACCCGTACCCGTACCGTAGGAAAATATGGGAAGGGAACATGCCCGGAATCGAATTCCGAGGTCCCAAGCCCGAGAAATGAATTTTTAAAGAAAATTATTTTCTGGAATTATTTATGAGTTTTGGAAATAAATGTGTTTAAAATTTGATGGTATCGGGCCCGTATTTTGGTTCCGGTGCCCGGTACAGGTCTTATATGTGATTTAATATAAGTCCGTGAAATTTGGTAAGAAACGGACTTGAAATGATACGAATCGGACCTTATTTGAGGAAATTGGGAAAATTTGAAGTTCTTAAGAAATTTCATGATTTTGATGCTAAATTCTAAGTTGTTGATGTTATTTTAGTGATTTGAATGCACGAGCGAGTCCATATTATATTTTTAGGTTGGTGTGCATATTTGGTTTGGAGCCCCGAAGGCTCGGATGAGTTTTGGATAGGCTACGGGGTGGATTTTGGTCTTGGGGAATTGCAGGTTTTTAGCTGTTTCAGTGCAGACCTGCAGGCTTCGCATTGGCTGGCAAATGCGAGGTCCAGGTCGCAAATGCGAAATGTAGCCAGGCCAGCCTACCTCGCAATTGCGAGGATTCTATCGTAAATGCGATCCTCCAGTTTTAGCCAGACATCGCAAATGCGACATTTGCAACCTGCAATTTTATAACTTAGCCGAAAATCTTTCATTTTTCACACTCTTTCAAAACCAAAACACTCTTGGGCGATTTTTCAAAGACAACTCTTCTTCCAAATCGATTGTAAGTTAATTTTAACTCGTTTCCTTCAATCATTAACATCTTTTCACATGATTTCAACTCAAAATCAATGATTTTCATGGAGGAAATTGGGTGTTTTGGGTAGAACCTAGGTTTTTCAAATATTGGGTATTTGGACCTCGATTTGAGGTCCGATTTCAAAACAAATTATATATTTGGGTTCATGGGGGAATGAGTAATCGGGTTTTGGTTCGAACCTCGGGTTTTGACCATGTGGGCCCAGGGGCGATTTTTGACTTTTTGGGTAAAACTTTAGAAAATTCATTTTCATGCATTAGAATTAATTCATTTAGCATTTATTGATGAAATTAAGTAACTTCTAGCTAGATACGAGCGAATTGGTGGTGGAATCAAGAGGTAAAGCGATAATAGAGACTTGAATTTTGTTTGTGTCATCGAGGTAAGTATTTGGCCTAACCTTAGCTTGAGGGATTAGGAGTCGAGTCTTATTTGCTATGTGGTATTTATCGAGTACCACGTATAGGCATGGTGACGAGTATCTATACGTTGGTGTCAAGCATGCCCGTGAGTCTTATATTGTGATTATTATGGCTTCGTTGTATTATTCATGCTTTGATGATGATTTCTATTTTTGGGCAAAGTTTGTGGAAGTAATCGTGACATTTGAACATTGAGGAGCGTTGGCTCAAGTTGTACAATGAAATGTGAAAGTATAAGTGGAAATTGAACCTTTTAGAGTATTGGCTCAAAGTTGTGAAGTAAAAGTGAAAAAAGAGAAGAAAATCATTATATTATCTCCCTTGCCGGGATATTGTTGCTTTAATGTTATCT